GTTACGGTCGGAGAACGGGAACGATACTTAGTGTCCCTTGAACTTACAGAAGGGCAGAACATCACGGGCGAATTTCCACATAAGCTCCTGGACAGAGAACGAGCGAGAAAGGATCCTTAATATTTTCCCTCTCTCTCTTTCTCTCTCTCTCTCTTTCTGTCTCTTTCTCTCTTATATCCCTTATATCTCTTTGCGGCTAATCTGATTCGTAAACCAATGATTTGCAAAATATTGTTTGCAAGCATGAATTTTATCCATGTCTCTCTTAACGTTTTAAAAAAAGCTCGCTCCAGTCTTTTCTACAGAATTCTTTCCCGCAGCAACAACAAATGTTAAGAAATATAAAAAAATAAAGATAGAGAACGTTTAACATAGCGAGATCTATGTCTTTTAATATTTTTGGAATATTGCAAACGATTTTGGCAAACCGTACTGTCTCGAATCATGTGATGTCGGTAATCAGCGTCGCAATGAGATCGTCGCAATGAAGCCTTCCTTACCAAGCGACGTGGTTGTTTAACTAATGGACGATTCATTCCGTTCATCTTATGGTAGAGACCGCATGCGTTGCAGAGGTAATGTCCAGTACCATCCCTACGCCATAAAGGTGTGGAAATCGCGCCGCAGTTCACGCACTCGCGGCCCTCCGTAAAGTACTCCGCTTCGATGTTGTGCACTGCGTTTCATTCATATTGGACTTCTCAGGAAAATCAGACAAGTGCATCGCACGCAACAAGTATATACACATATGCGACAGCGTGTTTGTCTCATTGTTTCTTCTTTCTTTTAACGCAGGAATAGGTAATTATAATTTAACAATTTTAACGGGAAAAAAATTGGATCGAAAGATAAACGCGCTGTTAACGCGCTGTTTGTAATTTTAAAAACGTGTTATATCGACAATTACTAATAATGTCATTCCATTTTTCAAGAGAGAGAGCTAAGACAATCGATTACGATCGATACAAACAAATGTATAATGCAATATCTGTTATATCTTCTTCTATGTTATAAGTATGTATGATATTTCATAACGATTATTCTATACGATATCCTATGTATAACTATATAATTAATATATTTATATAATAAAAATAAGAAAGAATTAAAAAAAACCTACTTTTTCTTTTAAAAAAATAGGCATAGAAACGTAGCATAGAAATCTTTTTTTCTTTCTCACGCTTCTTACCGTATGAATCTGCTTCTTTTTTATAGGAAAAATAAAAATGTAAAATATCTACGTGTATTTCCGGTATAAAGTAATACGAAGTAACACGAAGTAACAAATGTTCGTGGTCAGGTAAAGAGCATGGAGCACGTGTAGTATTCCATGAGAGCAATCATATCTGCCCCTTTTTACATGACCACTCGGAAACAATTGTTTCGTTGGTTTGTGTTCTCTCACTTCTATTACGTGACTATGAATATGCATAGTTTCTCAGACCGAGCGCAGTATAAGCTGTTCCTTGTGAAATGTTGATTGAGAAAATTTACGTGATTCTATTTTGTTCAACAAACAAAAATAAAACAATTATTCAATAAGATAATTATTATACTATTAATAAAAAACGTAATAAACTACATTAATCTGAATTAATTGCTATAATTTTCTAATGTTTTCACAAACAAATGTTAATAAATAAATTTGAAATAAATGACTTCTTAATAATAATTTGACATTTAAAGCTAAGCTATTAAGCTCTTAATGACTTTTTCTGAAACTATTTCTTACAACAAGAAAAACAAATTTTTTGTGGCATTTACGCTTTAATATAAAAATATTATATTATAAATAATATTATAAATCTTCAGATGTTCTATTCATCATTTTATAGACTGCGACAATTAATATGAAAATCATAGAAAATACAATGGAAGAGTACTGACGAAACAAGAAAAGGAAAGATGCAGGAAGTGTAACAGCGACGAGGAAAGGATGGAAACGGACATGGCGTTATCAGAATTTCCGGCGTTTGCTGATAATAACGCGAGTCAATCCAGTGACCATGCCATGTGTATACATATGCCACGTTGAAAAATGTGTATTTATAAATTATGACAAAACTATAATAAGATTATTAACTAAAATTATGCGTAGAAAGAAAAGTTATTATCAAAAATTGAGAGACATAACTGAACTGATTTCTGAACTGAACGAGAAACCATTTAGATCACGTCGCTACTATGACATTCGCTAAAATGCGCGAATCTACATAAATAAAAATTTATTCTTCCTAATAGAAATCCAACGCATCACTTGACAATCAAGAAAAATTCGTTTCGAAGAGAATTCGTTTCGAGTTACTTGGTGAAAAAAGAAAAAAGTAAAGCGAAGAAGAGAACGAGAAGAGGTCGGCGTACGCGAGCAGCACATCCGACAGAATTGCGACTGGGAAGCAATCGGATATTACATGTAGGTAAGCAAGAAGCTGCTGATGTCGTTTGAGTCGTCCTACGAACTCTTTTAGAGCATGCTGCATATACACACACACACACACACACACACATCGAGTGCATTCTCGCGCCTTCATGACGCCACCTTGACCCACAAATGGGTGGACTATTAATCGGGTTTGCGAGAAATTGCGAGTAAATAATCAAACAGATGAAATAGTTTGGTGGGAAGATGCTATCTCTCTACGCAAAGGCATTCGAAATATCTCTGCGTGTATAAATTATATACATATATTATAATTGCGTATACTTTTAGATAAATATCATTGTCCGTGAAGATACATTTTTATACACGAATAGATTTGAAGAAGACTTGAAGAGTCTCCTCTGTCTCCTCTAAAACCATAATGTCGCTCTTTTCCAAATCAGAATTACAATCGAGATATTCTATCGCTTCAATCGTTTCATGATATCCATAATGCGGTACTGTAACGCAGTTTTCGAAGTAGAGGAGCGTCCGTAATTAGATACGAAGGCAGGCATTAAGTTACCGAACTGACACGAGGACGAAGAGGTCAGAGGACACGAGAATCCTCATGAGATAGGGGCGGAATCACACTGGGAAGCAATCGGATATTATGTAAGCAAGAAGTAGCTGACGTAGCTGGGTATCCTGTACGGAGTCCTACGTTAGAGGTACGTAAGAAGGTTCACGTTGCACTTTCGCACCCGAACGACGCCGTACATTCCGACCTTCGTGATATTCTATCCTTGAGCGTGTGCTGCGCGAGAAAGCAGCAAAATGCAACCAGTAATAACAAAAGATGGAAAAAAAGTAAAACCACACCACACAAATGTTATAGGGAAAAATATTAAACGTAGCATATAACGCATATTTATATTGCGAATTAAATAATAAATCGGATTGCGCATTATTTCTCGCAATATTCTAACAAACTTAATTTCACAGTTAGACGATTACGTCGGCGCGATAATAACTGTGTTATCATCACATTAACATTCTTGTTCACCTGCGCTTTTGTTTCCTTTGACCGCTCTAATCTGCCCCCTCGGCTTTGATACTTATTATTTCATACAGAAATCTCAATCAATTGCCCGTACGTACCCATGACCCGTTCGCACCAGGTGTGCGTTACGCGCATTGCAATTGCCATTGTTATTTATGACGTCGATCTTTTTATCCTTCTAGCATTTAATCATTATTATAAAATACATTTAAAAACTAAACAAAAGCTTAGAAGATCAAAAATTTACTTTCGTCAAGCTTCCTTTAATCATTCCTTCAATATTCAATGATCAACATTTTCAACAATCATATACTTTTATTTAAGAAACTTGGAAATTAGAAATTAGCGAAGAGCAAAGGGAGAAATTGATATGTCAATTTTAAACTTAAGCTAAGTATTTTTTAAGCTAAGTATAAACGGAAAAGGCGAACTCTGGTGTATTGCAGAAGAAGAAGAAGAAAGTTTTTAACTCGAATCAACCGGATTAATTTAGGGATGGCCACGTGCACGGTCCTTCAGGATGATGCACGACTCTTGCGTCGTGCTCTTGCATCGACGTGTACGATGTACACGAAAGCACAGTGAGAGAGAGAGAGATAGAGAGAGAGAGAGAGAGAGAGAGAGAGAGATCGTTCCCTAGAAGG